TTTCTGGTGATCGCGTTTCGTTTGCTTGGCAAATACTCTCATCGCTTGAATACTGGCTCAAACCCTCTAATTTTCTACTTACACTGTCTGCATCCGTGCTACGAGCAAAAGCGTGCTGACTTCGGCCAAGGCTTGAATAACTCAAAGTCACGGGATAATTAAGGAGAAGAAGCGCAGCTTTCACTTCCTTTTTGAGTTAAACGAGGAGTGTAGGCTCTTGATCAAGAGTGTCTTACTCCTGCTTGAAAAATTGCCGTTTCTGCGGGGTTAAAACTCGAGATCTATTCACTTAATTTAAAGGTAAGTGGAGATCGCTAATTACAGTTTAACATAAAATAGTCTGTAATGGCTAACCCTTCTCTTAAATTCGTTTCTTTATGTTTTCTTCGATGGGAATAAAAAACAGATCGATCTCTCTGAAAATCTCTTCAAAAGATTTGGTGGAATTGAATCAAAATCGTAGTTAGAACTGAATTGAATTAGAATTGCAACAAATTTCAGTAATCTCAGGAAGAACTAAAATTACTTCTCTTATTTTCTCAATCAAGGAACGTCCTATCGATGATACTGTCTACTTTTAATCAGTCGCTAAGCAAGTGTCTTCAAGCATTCGCTCTCCATTCTCCCTGAAATCAGGTCTCAAACGAAAGAATTTAATTCTACGCTTTCGGAAGATCTGTCGTAGAATCACACCCTTCCGAGTTGAATCACCAATCACAGAACACTGGGCATATTTTCGCACAGTGCTCCTTCGAGTGGACTCATTCCGCTGGAGTCCATTGGACACGCTAATTTAATCCCGACATTCTCGATCGGCGCGATCTGGCCGGACCAATTCAGATCTAATAAGCTGTGCCGCCACCCCCGGATAAAAGATGAACTCTCCTGGATGTCTTACCGAGTGTCAAGGGCGAGAATCGACGCGTCGAAATTATTCGTTCCGTGTCTGGCAAAAGAGCTAGTTCGAGGGTTCGGACAGGGGGAAGTTGGTTGCGGCGCGTCTGAGAGATTCCATTGTCGCGGGACTTCAAATCGAGGGATAATGGGGATTGTATGGTGCTGGATTTCTATTCAGACAGCCACCAGCGGCGGCCCCGCACGAGCCACTTCTTCTGCCCGGGGACAGCACGCACCCTCCCATTACCCTTCGGTCTCTTCGCCTACGTCTTCGCCCTCCTGCCATCCGCTTATTGGATTCTTCCTCCGACCTAGGTGTTTCGCACTTTTTCTCCGAAACTTCGGCGAATAGACCTTTCTGACCCGCGGACCTGGAAAACTCTATATGCGCCTTGTTCCCTGCATGATGGGAACCAATCTTGCTTCGGTATATGTGGTATATTATTTCGTGAAATACGTTCTTGCGTTCGTGAATAAACTACGGATGCGCTTTGTGCCGTATTTGATGCTACGAAACACGGCGGAGCTTGTTATTCGAAATATTTCGAGTTGAATTTTTGCTGAAGAATTATATTTGAGCGTTTATTTGTTACAATTTAGTTTCAATTGTGTTCTATTCTTTTCGCAATTGGATTGAATAGTTGATATTATGAGATAATTTTCTGGTGATATTGATTTTTAGAAATGTATTTTGCTTGTGCTTTTGCAGCAGTCGTTTAGAATTTAATACAGTGATACATTTATTCATCGTTCTTCTGTGAATGTTCAGAATTGTGTATAATTTCGACCAATTCGTGCCGTCGATTATTTGCTGGGATTTGGAGACATCGCAAGTTTATTGCAACGTTATTGGAGAAACTAGAACTTGAATATTTGTAAAACCGAGTTCATCTAGCAACCGAAGATCCTCTGTATGTACGTAACGTCGTCTCTGTGTTCAATCACGTTTCTCTGTCCTGGCCGCTCTCTTTGAAGATCTCCACCTTTCAGAATATTTCTACGTGCAGCAGTTTTTTAATGAAAATTCAAGGCGGACGGCGACTTCCTGAAAAGCTGGCCCGCCATCTAGCAGTGTTAGGAATCCTCCGCCATTAACTACACTCTTTTTCATGAGTGCTACGCCAAGGTGAAGACGTGATTTTTACCTTTGTCCTCTGGTCACGTACATCGACTTTCGCCTTTCCTTGATGCTTTTGGACTCTCACAGGGAATAAAAGTTTCGCGAAACGAGCCGGTTCACTCCGGATCTTATGAAATTGCAAAAGGTTTTACGGAAGGACAACGTTCACACCGACCAATCAATATCTTTGTGTCCCTTTTTCCCAATATAGGTTACAATGGCGAATTATATTCGGAAGGTTCCCTTTTTATTCTCTAACTGCTCCGCAACTTCGGGCTGTTAGCAATCAAAATACAAAAATGCATCTATCGCTTAATATATTTGTCAATTACTGATTTTCTCTACTGCGAAGTGATATCTCAAATATTTTTTCCTATATTCCATATTTTCTCTAATCTTACACAATAGACAATCCAAAACTGAATCACTCGATTAACTTGTCTGACTAAAAACTGTACACTTCTACTTTCAACACACTCTCACCTGTCCTTCAGTTTCATCATCCCAATCATCACTTCACACAAATCAAATTTAAGACAATACTAATTTTACATTATTCCCAATATTTACCTTCACACTCAAAATTATTCAATTCAGTCACAATTAATAAATCACAATTACACTCTCATTTCTCATCGAACAGTGTAATCTCGCTGGAGGTTGCACTCACGTGCTAACTTCACCACGATGTACAAATTTGCCAAATGCCCAAGCGGACACATTGTAAAGGACAATTGAAAAACAAGAGAAGAACTTCACTTCGAAACAACTCAATAACACCATACCGGCTACATCATTCCTCGATTACAGTTGTCCCTCGCAATTTCCCCTCGCAAGCCTGATCGCATTAGGTAGAACAGATGAAAAGTATTAGCATGTCTTTTTCGTAAATTACGGAAATTAAGTTTCGCATTAGATTTGCATTAGGGGCATCGATGAGGAACGGGGTCGGTTCCCTCGCCCCCCACCCTCCCGTAGGAGACCCAACGCGACGTCGGAAATAAATTCGATGAAATTCAAGTGGATTGAGAAGCAGCTGTACCCTCGGCTCTTCGAAGAATCTTTCTCCTCGTGCGCTTTCTACCCATTTTCCCCGTACGCGGAGGATGCGACTTCGCCTTCGCCTTCCACCTTTGGATATTCCGGTACAGCGTGTAGCGCCCGGTGATCACGGCAGTCGAGCGAAGGTGGATGGAAGAATGGAGGGTCGGGCGTGAACACTTGACGCAAGCAGCCGGATGTTGGCGTAGATCGTGGCGAGACTCTCGTGCCCAAGGGAGCCTTCCACGAGACCCATTGAGATTGCCACTCTCGGACCTCTCTTTCCGCCCCTCCCTTCAGGCGTTCGCTGGCTCGCGCGGTGCATCGGTCTTTCTTGTCGTATTATGGATACGTGTGCCACTCGAGACAACGAAACGCATCATTAACCGTGGAGTCCCGTATTATCACTCTAATCTTGTTCCCCGGCACGTGACCCAGTTTTTCAAGCACGATTTCAATGGGACACTCGCGCGCGCCCCGAATTGCTGAATATTCTCGCTCTATCTCCTGTATCCGAGGCGCTGCCGAGTGATTACTCGGCTCCCGTGGCGTTACAACGATTTAATATCTGCTACTTTGCATTCTTCTTTCATTCACGATTG